ACAATTGGCCGAAAGTTTGCCATTGGCTAGTGCTATTACGGCCCAGTTAGACAAGGTCGTACTTGAAATTAGCATCGTATATCCTATCCCATTTCGACATCACCGCGCTATATTCATTCACTAATTTCAGTCTCATAAGACCATCATCATGAGTGATAAGCTATAATTGTCTAAAGTTCCTCGATAGGATCCTTCACATACAAATTCCATCACGACATGTTGAAAAGAACGAAAATTCTGTCGGAAATCAGGAGTTAATAGATCAAAAATTTTGCAATGCAATACACTGGAGATCACTTTGAAACAGCGCTTCTTTCAAGGGTGTCATTCGTTGAATCAGGTAATAATCGCATCTGAAGAACGTTCATCGATAAAGCATCCTTCAGGCGTCAATAATTCGTTTGACATCGGCCTATTTGGCACTTCGCCGTATATTCCCTCGAATCGAACCAAATAAAAATGATCTGTTCGAAGTGGGCTCATTTTTGCTGCAAACACTCGACGGTTTTGTGCTCATTTTGAATTCAGTCGGTAAAATGATGTATGTATCGGAGACGGCATCGGTCCATCTTGGGCTATCACAAGTTCTTTTTTTTAGCTACTCGTTTCATTGTGTTGTCATAATAGTTACAACCACTGTTACTAGTGTCATGAACATGCGCAAAATCTCTCATTCGTTTTCGGCAATGACCGTTTTCGGCAACAGTTTTCGAATATCCTTTTAAATGCATCACATATACTGAGTGAATCCTTTTGGAATCTGAACAAATCATTTCGAGATTTTCATTCCTAAGTAAGATGATTATGAATAGCATATTATACATAGTACGGTATCCGTTACTGGTCCATGAGCAATGGAAGCAATATTCTCCAAAAAATCTGTCAAGTACAATTGAGATGCGATCTTTCAGGTTGAGTTGATTGGTTCATCGATATTCGAGTTCTTGCATCGAGACGACGAAAGTGAACTGAGAAGTATGCTTGAATGTGCTGACTCAAGACGGATGAACACGTTGGTACCGTATACCGAAGAAATTGAGCGAATGTTTTTTGTGCGATTGCGATGTGTGTTACCAAAACGAAACGCTGGAATCACATATAATGGCTATAAAGTCAGTGTACAAATAATTGATATGTTAAGATGTTTCGTTGAGATGTTCTATTGTAAAATCAATAAAAACGCTGAGATATAGATGATAGAAGCGTAAGGTGATCCATTAGCTATACTAACTGCTTTTCATCCGCAGTCATTCATAATAAGGATAACTAGAACTGTATTATCTTGCTCAAGCCATTCACCTGTTCAGTTCTTGATAATTGGTAGGCATCGTGAGTTTTTGTTTGTTTCGAAACCAGTACGCCTAGTGGTGCAGTAATGTCAAAATTTCAACAAAGAATGACACTTCAGACGATCAGCTGTTGGGGTTATTCGAAGATGTATCACGGATATCTGAGTAGCACAAATCTCGGTTTGATCGCTGTTGGATATATGTTGAGCAGGAGTGGTGTCACAGAAATTAAGCTATCGCCATCGGTGTTTATGTTCAGAGCACGACTCGATTTGAACATTATCTTCATCGACTCAAGGTTCACTTCCTTTTCTACAGTAATCAAACGACTTTTATTTGGCTCATTATTGGTTTCTTTGACATTAGTATTTGTTTTGATTTGAATTTTGCAGTGTAATAAATCAATAGAAAGCCTTGAATTCGTCCATTTTTCCATCTGGCTTGGAGACTGAAACTCAAATGAGTTTCAATCCCTTTCATCTCTTCAGAATAACCGCATTGACTGGTTTTGCTGCATCGTCTTTGCTTGATCTATCGCTGTATCATATTGTTTTGCTAGAAGATGCCCATATTATCGAGAGAGCTCATCGAATACGTACGTACACTTGACATATATATGATCATTTACCAATCAGTTTA